ACCAAAAGTTAAAGCCTTGTACGACTATGAGCCGAAGGATCTGGACGAGTTAGGGCTCAAGGAAGGTGACATCGTGGAAGTACTCAAAGAACGTGAGTTATTGCAATCCGACCTTGTTTGCACAATAAATAACAATAAATTTAGCAGTGATATACGTGAAAAGAGAATAAAATTGATACTGATGTGTATAATGTTTTACTAATATTTTTGCCACTGATACAAAAAAAAATAATTTTTGCTATTAGTTCTTTACAATTTAAGTGTCAAAAAATCAGCTGACAATATTTTTTTTAGATGAGGGCGGTTGGTGGCACGGAAGATTGAAAGGGAAGACCGGTCTTTTTCCTTCCAATTACGTAGAAAAGATATAAATTCTGTAATCGCCGATTGCCATCAAAAAATCTTATCCTAAGAAGAATAACAAGTCATTATGATATCAAAATGACTTCAAAACGATCATTAAAAGTCATTTTTCAATCATTTCCTATTCATTTTAATGTCATTTTGACGTTATCGTGACTTGTTGTTCTGCTTGGGATTGAATTACATGAAATCAGAACATAATTGTAATAAGTACATTGTACCTGTTATTCGCAATTTTCGTGCTCTATAATATACTTATTGTTACATGTGTCTTTAATTAAATAATATTAGTAGAACATCTATTAATGCCAAAGCCGAAAAAAAATCAAAGAATTCATAATTGAAAAAAGCGCGATAATTTGTTGAAGATATTCATTGTTTAACAAAGGTAATGAAAGAACAAATAATGGTAGTTAATGAAATGATAATATTATATCATCGTTTAAATCTATTTTTATCTAAATGTTCTCAGTTAAAAACAATACGTTGCTTTTATTGTTAATTAGTGTACGATATAGATATGTAATCTGTTTAACTTTTGGTAATGTACAGCGCGATAAATATTGATATAATCAATACATTCCCTGTCAGAAAATTTCGATTAAACCGATTAGAATAATCCATTTTAATCAACTATAATCCATCTGACTGCGATTTGCTAAGCTCCAGTTCCATTAATGTAAGATTAATTTTAATCTCGGATCAATTTATCCTTTATCTTCTAGTTTTGCGAATTAAAAAAAATAAGTAGTAAGTTAAACCGAGGTTAAAGTTAATTTTACATTGGTGAAATCGGGCCTTAGAAAGATAACATTAATCCGTTTCAATTCAAAATTCATCGATTGCCCGTATGCAATTCCAATCCGTTTCAATAATATTTCATTTTTAGTAAATCGATTTGTAATCAAGTTTAATCCGATATTCACAATCAAATTTTTGTCATGAATATTATATTCGACTATGTGTATAAATAAAGAAAGAAAATCGTATTTATAATAAAGTTATATTTATTGAATTTCGAATGGATTTCAAATATTTGGAGGTTGCATAAGCGTCTACGATATCACTACATGAATAATTTTGTTTTTCACATCGCTTATGGAAACTTGAAACTGAGTTGTGTACATAATCTTCTGATTCTATTCCATCGATGTACGATACATTGAACGGTTTGATAGAATTAATTGTAATTCTAGATATTTGAATGTGACATTTATTATTTAACAGAATGATTTGTATGATTAAAAACTTATGTGTATATGTGTATATTAAAAACTACAATAAAAAATATACTTAAATTGGGAATTAAATAAACAATAACTATACTTAGAGATTAAAGCTGAAATTGTACTTCTTTTGTAAAGGTGTTAGCGCGGATCTATAGATTTTTAAGCCTTAAACTATAAGAAATGAACGAATCACGATCAATTATTCTCCTCATATTCGATTATAATTGGTCAATTTCTTAAGGCTTAAGGCTTAAAACACCTATTGTAGATCCAGGCTTATACAGTTGAGAAAGAAAGATAAAGCTTTTGCGGATTGCTTCACGGTAGAAAATTAAACCTATTTTAATGCAGTTGAATTCGAATTTACCGGCGTGACTGGCAAAAGCAATTTATTTTAATAAAAAAAATTCATCATTTCGTAGATGAAAAGTAAATCGATTTTATGTAGTGTGAGTTGAATTTGCTGTTGTTATGAGTCACAATCAAGCATAGCAAAGTCTATTTTTATTCCAAAATTAATTTTACTTATATGTAGAGATACGTGCATTTTATTGTTATAATAAGAATGAAATATCACTCTTAGTATCATCAACGTCATATTTATTGTTTCCTTCTGCAGTGCTTTATAAGTCTTTCTTATATAGCGAATATTGCGTGATACGTTTTTTTCTTTGTTTGCTCGCACTCTCACATACATTACGATTAACATCGGCAAAGGAAAATAGAATAGCACATCTCCACAAGACTACAGCATTGGCAAGAACGATTATTTTTACAATAATTATCTTTCATAGTAGTACAGAGTAAAATAAATTAAAAATTAATTTAGTGTGCTACGGTTTTATAAACATACAAGTATTTATAGGCACTAGAATAATAAATTATTGCTAAATTATTTGTCGTTTAATCGATAGCCCCTAGTCGCGTTGCCCCTAGACCGCGAGAAATTCAAATACCGTGATGGAGCCAGGATTTTATATATATACATATATGGGTGTATATATATATATATATATAATATACCAAATATATATATATATATATTTGGTTCATAATTGCCTATTTAGATTTTAGAATACATTGAACTCCATAATGAGATCGTGTAATGAGCGATTCATTCGGTCTAACAGAGCAGAGATCACATTTTGTAGCTTAGAATATCTGTTGCTGCTCGATATTCGAATTATACATTTCAAGAACTATTTCCTCTTTTGCTAAGGACCAACTTCAGCAATATTCTATTCTCTAGCTTAACGGATTTCTTGCGAGAACTAAAAAAAAAATACGAGGAGCAAAGTTACAAGTAAAAATATAAAATTAAGGTGCTATGATACTCGATTTAATTATTGGTATATATTACGATGTCAAAAGGAGATAATTCTCTAATATTCTTATAAACTTTAATCGCGTATTCTCTAAATACGAATGTTCCGATAATTATATATGCTTCCAGGAGGGCGGTTTTATATGGTCTGCTTGGAACATATATACATTATATATATATATATATATATCCGAATTAATTGTCATTCTATCCTCAACTGTGTATTGATGTTCCAATGTTCCAAGAATTCGCGCAATGTCTTCGATGCATACATTGTAAATTATAATACAGTCTTCGATGCATACATTGTAATACAGTTCCAAAAATAATTATAAATAGTTTGTGTTAGTACGTATTAATGCAAAATTCACAATTTATTTAAACAAAGATTATTCAACACAGAGACAACATATTTTCAATTTTTGAAGATTATGTTGCATTAAATTATAGTTATAATAACGTTGAAACACATTCATAACTTTTAATCCTTTGTTCGGTGTTAAAAAATTTGGATAACATTCACTGTGATTGTCAAGCGTAACATACGTAAAACAACTAATTTCCACATGTTCTATTTTTAACTCTTTATTTCACGAATTTCATAAAAAATTATGAATTTTGAAAATTTTTGCTGTGCTACAAATATTTAATATAGCGAAACGATATATTTTCAATTATATATAAAATTAGAATATTTTTCATTATCTAAATATTAAATGTGTAATTTCATCCGACAAAATCGCAATGAAACAAAGAGTTAAGAAATAACTTTGTCTTGTATTATGGGAAGTAGATGTACATCTATATCTTATATATTGCTTTCAGCAATTATATCATATCTGTAGCAGTTATAAAAAGACGATAATATTATTTATTCTGCCAAAACGTTTCAAACGGAACCAACGAATATAATAAACATTCGTTATAATTTCTTGCCCTTGAGATCCGTTAAGCCGAAAATGTTTTGAGCGAATTTATTAAGAATTTATTTATTTTTTCTTTACATGTTGTTAGCCAAAACATTTAAATATAATGCACCATTTTGTTATAAAAAGTTATCAGTAGTCAACATAATATTCTTATTACATGCAGATATACGATACCACACATATAAGAATTAGTCTTATTAAAAATTAATCTTATTACGGTTTCTTTTAAAATCTCATACCGTCAATAAGATTATCGAATTTGTTTTTAACGCATTTTTCTGCATTTGTACAAATTCGTCAAATAGGATGTAAAAAGTATATCAATTCGTTCGTATGGCACAAATAGAGTACATGTGAATGCTCGATGAGAACAACTGATGCAAATACGAAAACTATACGTAACGCCACGTGATCCACTTTCCGTAATAGTTTCATAATCAATTTTCCGTAAATCGATTTGGATCGATAAACACGAAATACATTTACTAAATTACTCTTCACGTATCTCTCGCATGTTCTTGCGTAACAACTCGCTTTAACTTTCTTTGGCTTTCCGATATTAAATCTCTTAGCAATTAAGTCACAAAATAATTTTTCACATAAATCGAATGTCTAAAGTTCACTTGCAAGAAAGAACTGCATTCAATTTATATTTTCTTGAACCAGCTACTAATTTATATATAAACAAAATCTTTTAAAATATATAACACTAAGTAGCTTCGTAATTAGATCTTGAATCTTGCTAAAATATATTTTTATCACTAATTTGCATTCTTTTCGAGCTTCTTTGCATTTGCTTTCACTTTTATTTTATTCGAGGAAGAAAAATTATATCTCTTTTCATCTACTTACTGATTCATAAACTGTTTTGCACAATTCCGTACTCCGTAACTATAGCACATATCATGTCATATACTTGCACACAGTCGCAACTATTAACGCGCAACATTTCACTTGAAGCATAAAATGCTTACATTACATAATCGATATTATGCTCGATAATATACAAAAAATTATTTAACCATTTATATCTAATAATTCGACAGTTTCTAATTTTAATTGCGTTTTTTCTTTCGATGAACTTATATTAAAAACAAAAGAAATGAAAAAATTTATTTGATCTATCTTTTGATGAATTAATCTATAATGCATAATAAAAAATGAGTCTCTAAAAATAACCTGTTTGTAAACCATGAAAGGTCACACTTGACTCTTCAACATCTAATTTTGTCGACTTTTTGGCAACTCCACAGCAACATGGGTCATGCCTGTAAATGTAAAAAATCGTACTTTTATATATTATTATTTCTTAATAAAATAATCTCATAAAATAATTTTTGAGAAATAAAAGACTCAACACATAAGTAAAAAAAGCTTAATACAAATTGTCCTTTATTAACAATTAATCTGTTTTGATCAGAAAGTTTATTAATAATAAAAATAGAAATATTAATTAATAAAACTTTAACCAATATAGAGATAAAAAAGATTTAATTTAAAATTTATTTAACAAAATAATTAATTACAAGAATTAATGAAAAAATAAATAGAACTTGAATGAAAATCTTATGCAAATAATATAAATTGGATTGTATTTATTATTCATTTTCTCATTTTTCAAAGCATGCTATATAATATAAACAATTTACCTTCACAATAATTCTGGAAAAAACACGATAAATAATTAACTCCTCATTGCACAACACAATTTTTATTTCGTTGAGCTAGTCCAGCGCGAGATAAATCACGCTCTATTTCGTCATCATCTTCAATGCTAAAAATTATTTGGGAAAGAAAAATTTAATAATTTTAAACAAATAATAGCGTGCAAAACATATCTATTTATTATACACTTACGCTCTCTCTTGTGTATCAAGATGATGCACCAATTCATCCCTTTTGTTTACAATAGATACTAATTCCTCCAACAATAAATTTTCACGCATTTTTTGCTCTGGTGTTTTTTGCCAATCTTCCACTGCAAGGATGCTTCTTAATTCGTGATTCAAGAGCTCAAATCTTCGCTCTAAATCGTCTTCTTTCTCCCTGAAGATAAAAAGTCCATTTTCATTGAATTGAGATTATTGTAATATCATCCCATCCCATTTTTAATAAAAGTTAAAAATACAAAATAATATGTTTGACTCAATGAATCACTTACAGTATGTTTAGTTGCATTTGTCTTCTTAAGAGAGCATTTTTTTTGTTAACAAGAGTGAACCACAGAGACATCAGTCTTTCCGTTTCGTCTTCGTTATCGCTTTCCATGGCTGCTCTCAATTGCTTTTCAAGCTTGCCAGCTTGTATGTCAATCTGATTTTGCTCTCTTTCAAGTGCTTCAAGCTCGTTTTGAATATATGATGTCATGTCTTTACCCAACTAGAAATCATCGAATTGTAATTAAAATACTGTTGTTTCACAATTTCTTTCATTATATTGAAACTAAATTAATAATATTGATTTCCTAGTAAAATTGTAATGCAAATATAATAAAATTAGTAGAATGTCCAACAAAATTAAATTAATAATGCAAGTTAACATACCCCGCGAAGTGTATACGAAGTTCTATCGGGACTTCCTTTATCGGGCGAGATTCTTTCAATAATTTTCGAGAAGGAATACAAAGGAGAGCCAGTTTTCTTTTCTCCATCTATCACACTTGAATTTCCCAGTATATTTCCATTGTATTCAGACTAAAAAATTAATTATAATTTATCGTTTTGTTACATAATTGTGTAAAAAAGTAAATTATATCGCAGTACCTTTATACTGATCCGATCACTAGGTGTCGATGGCGTAATGCTGCGTCTAGGACTATTGTTTTGATCGTCTATCGATCGTCTGTCACTATTGTTATCATCATTCAACTGACTTGGAGTCACAGCGACGCCCATTTTAACTTCCGCAATCAAGCGTCTCGCCCTTTCTCGCAAGTTCTGTTGTCTCTCGTCATCATTCTGTGTCTATAAAATATATTACATACATATAGACCGCTCATTCCTTGAGAAATACTCGATTAATTCTTTAATGTGAATAAAACTATAGAACCTCAACGGGACTGATCGCAGCAGAAACAAATCCGGATGGCTTCGTTTGATTCCTGGCTTGTTCTAAGAGTTGCCTCGCTCGCTCTCGCAATTCATCGTGCCGACTAACTAACGACTAATACAAAAAAGATAAGAAACGTGAATGATTAGTGCGACAATTGAGTATTCATAAAATTTTCGTTTATTTTGAATGACTTTAGTTTCGTTGCTATTGGGGTATTGATATGATATAACATTAAAAGCGATATAATATTAACAGCAAATATATTGTTAATTACATGTGAACGTTGTTCTCCATACGGCGGCGATGCACCTTGACATTCGGAACTACCTCGACTTCCTCTATCGTCAGAGTTTACCGAGTCCTACAAAAGATCGTCCTCTATACGTTTGCATAGCCTTGTTACGTCATGGCATTGTTGCAAAGCTTCTTTATAAATATACAGACCGGTATTTTCGCGGGGAAAAAAAATGTCATAGTAAAAATAAATAAATGCAGATTATTAAACCAACAATATAATTACGTTACATAAAATTGTCAAATTTACAAGTTGTTTGTAATTGGATATTATCACATATATAATAATTTTTTTATTCCTAGAAACGCGTTATATTAAGAAAAAAATGTGAAACCCGCAAAAAAAGAAACTAAATATTACTGAAATAAACTATGATTTTTCCTGATATTATTGTTTGACACTCTGTTATAGAAGCACAAGGTTTTGTGAGGTTCCTATCTCTTAGAAATACTTTTTCTTACAGAATTTAAATTTTCAATGTTGAACATATTGATAATTTAAAAAATTAAAATTATATATATGTACATATTACAATTTACTGAAAAATTAAATTAAATATACGCTAAAAATATTTTAAAGCAAAAGCTTATGGAACAGCCCGTATAAATCTACATTTCTCGTGCATTGCGGAATGTTATGCGCGAATTCTCATGCATATTTACATGCAGTTATATGTGTGTATTATGTAGGCGTAATTCCTGCCGTCACAAAGCGCAATCTGTTCGCTTATGATAAACAAAAAGTAAAAGAATAGACCTTGAAACAATGCATTTTGATATAATTCGCCGATGGAAAGAAACAACAGAAGGAGAATGTAACAGTGCGCGTTATATGGGTTTATTGTTAATGCAGCGAGAGATATAACAGAAGGAATGCATAAAAAGCGACAATCTGCGCAATCTCGTATATACTGACATCACGGACCGGACTTTGCGATTTGGTAAGTGAGATCGATTGCGACCATTTGTCGTCGATTATCTGTATGTTCTCCTCTTCGTCATCGGAGCCGAACGGATCGGTTAATTGTCGGCGTGTCATAAGTATCGGACGTTGCTGCGCTTGTTGCACTCTCGGCGGAGATTTGCTCTGCGGTAAATTGGTATTTCATTTCCTCACAACGAAAAAAATTTGCGCGTAAATTCCGTCAAATATTATACGCGACGTTTCTCTAGACAATTCTCGGGAATAATCGCAACGTCGAAATTGACTCGAACTCAGTCCATGTATTTTCTACGTACCTTCTCTCTCGACGAGTATTTTTCTTTGGTCGGCGATAACACCTTCCCCAGAATGCTTTTTGAGCTAGCTAATATGATGTCCTTGACCTCCTTCACGCTGGATGGCGATTTGTCTTTATTACATTGATCGTGATCCTGATTGTCCGTGTTCAGGCTCAAATGCAGCTTGTTTTTTAACGAATCGATGCATATGTCATCCTTCTTGTTATCGAATGGATTCGACCTACGAGAGTGAATCACAATTAATCTTGCTTTTAATAAATTGCTGTAGAAATGTACTTTGGATTGGTAATTTGATAGATTACAAAATGTCATTGAGAATATATTTACCGTCTGTTATTCTCCGCTTTATTGTTTTTTTGTTCGATCTGTTCCTTCTTTCGTAAATTAATAATCTCTTGACCAAACAGTTGAACACTCACGTCAGTGTTGTTGTCTGTATTAAATCTGCCGATCATGTAAGAGGACTCATCTGTTGTTTTACCTATTTGATGTACCTAGATTTTTATAAAACGGTAATATATTATTAATTATATGCTATCTATAATATTACGTAAAAAGAAAAAAACGACTACAATAATTGGATAAAGCCATTACATAAAAAAATATCGTTGAAATACCTCTAGTTCGTGGCCGGTAAAATGCGCTCTCAATTGATATAAATAAGTCATCACAGCTAATTTATCAGGTACCGTTAATATATCCATGTCAGCCGGTTCAATAACTCTGGGTATGCCCAGAGTTTCGCCCGCGTCGAACGCTTTCTTACAGTTGCCTTTTACATCGTGTGGCAATAGGGAATCGATGTCTCTGTAAGTTTTTATTTCGGATATTATTCAATTTGATCAGGAAACTCGCAATCAAACATCTGTTGCATATGCGGCTATAAATATACAAATGCGTCGACCTTTCCAGTATCAAAAATAATCGTCAGTGTTGGCACGAGTTGGTTCGACGTAAGACAATGGCGATTTCAAAGTGTTTATTAATGGAATACGCGAATAAAATAACTGGCATATCGCCAAGAATGTCTATTGACATTTTATTCCCAGAAATTTAGTATAATTACGACATTCGATCAACCTTGTAAGAGCACCTACATCAAATCAGGTCTGAAATGATGAATAATCGCACAAAACGCCATTCCGTTTCTCCAAGATGTCGTCAGATTGGTGACTTTGACACCGGAATAATCCTTTGTAACTTCTTTGCACCATTCCAATAAATCTTGGCCGGGAGTAATCTCTTTCAGTCTTGGAACATTTGCGTCATTCTTTTTAAGATCCAATGGCTGCAGCGGCAATCTCAATGTACTGTGTTCAATGTTTTTGCTACAAAGATATTGAATTCGCAATTATTACATTATTTGCCACATTATATAGAATGGTAATTGTAACAAAGTAATCATCCTTCTGTTTTTTGTAAATAAAAAAGAATAAGTAACTTTTTGCATAGTAAACTATTTGTGAAAACAATATTTAAATTATTTATTGTACCGATTATGTCATTCTAATATTGTATTTCATACACGTACACTATTGTATAAAATATAATACTGTAATTGTACGTACTCATTTTCAACGGCAACATTGTCTTTTACAGGTGATTTTTCCTTTAAAGAGTCCCCAATTCCTGTTAGACTAATGTCGCGTATAAAATGCTCGCCATCATTTACAGGAGTTGTATCATCCTTTGATAAACTTGCCACTATTGCATACACATTATATATTCCATTAGTAAATTCGATTCCATAAATTATTATAATAAAATTAATAAAGCAACAAGTTAGAGAATTAAGACAGCAATTACATATTTGATGCATATATTTATGGACACAGTTTCAATAAGAAGCAAGGATCACACACAACACCCACCACTTATAGGAGTACTGGGTAATTCACTTTCAGTGAGACTGCTCGTCATTAGATCAAGTTGAGCAGAGATATCTAAAAATTCGTCCAAATTTTTTACCGATACTTCCTCAACATCTTCAGGTATATCTTCGTTATCAAAATCATCTAATGGCGCAATGTCGCTGTTATTATTAACCGACATTAAACTAGCCATACTTTGCATATCTTCATCCCTAGAAAAATAAAGATAATTATTAAATAAGCATTTATTGACAAATTTAAATATAATGAAATGGCATATTTCAATAACAAACATTTTCAGATTAAAATAATTTGTTGATAGATTCAGCATGCTGCCTTTAAAATGTATTACTTAATGTTTATCCTATTTAAAATATATTTAGCTACATAAAGGACAAGTGCTTCTACCTAGCTTATGAAATTAATTAGCAGTATGTCAATGAAATTAAACTGCACACTTACGTTGCCTTGCCCTCTCGTAGAAATACACATGACAAAGTACATTCTAGCGTAGCGCTAACAATTTTTTTAGAAGTTGGCTTCAAGTCTAATTTGAGTTGTTGCTGACTAGATTCTAAAGTTGCATATTTTTTCATATTTATATTAGTGGCAGCCACATGACGTCTTTTTCCCGTCAACGACACCTGCTCGAGAGTAGAACAATATACTATTGTGCTATGTCCTTCTGCAAATGTATCAGTATGCTATACTCACATCTTCGATAACAAATGTCCAATCTTTATCTTCCAACTCATGTGTTCGCGGATCTTTAAACAGTGTCACAGAAACCGTGTGATTGTCAGGGACTGCCCAGCTAATAATACCTTTCAAAGGATCACTCAAACATGGTTCCCATTCTAAGGGTTCTGAACTGACTCTTCTACTACGTCTTGTCCAAACAACGCTCAGTTTATTTGGCCTCCTAGAAAATGTTAATTATTTTTGTACATCTTTTCTCTACTCTAAAACACAATATATGCTAATATAATATCTCTAAAACACAATATATGCTAATATAATATCTCTACAAAATTATTAATTTAATTTTATAAATTACAGTTATTTCATATACATATTTTTTTCAAAATGTGTGCACATTATATTAATTAAAAGATACAATCAAAATTGTGTCATAAACATAAACATATTTTCTAAAACACAACACGTAATGCGTAGCACATAAAAATCTAAACGGAAAACAGTAATTTATATTTGCATACATATCACTTAATTTTTTTTTATTTCCAAAATATTTATTCCAAGATAAAAAAAATTTCCATCACTTTCTTGTAAAACACAAACGCTCCAGGTTCTCAGGAGCAGACGACAGTACACACAGATTTTCGTATAGATGAAGAGACATTGGCGTTAGTTCCCGTTCGAATGACAGACTTCAGAACACTTGAGAAAGTCGCGGCGAAAGAAAGCTCTCGGGCAGGAATGAATCGGCGTCACTCACCACTTTGTCGTCGTCTCTAATGTGACCTCGTGGTAAGAAACGGTGAATTGAAACTTGGCCGCTCTCTTGTTCACCCGTTGCAAGCGTTTCCAGACGGAACTCATGTCTGCAGCCTCGCTCCGCTTCTCTTCGCTCGGGACAACCGGGATTTATTCGTCCGCGAACGAAAGAAGTCTCTTCTTTACTGCTGACGCGCGAGCGGGGCGCGCTTTGTCATTTCCGCGAGTCGCACGCGCGATCGGCGCAATCGGATCGTGGACTAAGGTCGGCCTGGTCGGCCGCGACGGGGACACGGGGTACGGAAGGCGAACGATCACGCTTCCCGGAAATCCCGGAAACCGACGACGTTCACGGTTCACGACACGCGCTCTCGGCGGGGTTACGTTACGATCATATGTTCGGACGGACGGACAGATCAGAACAGATGAGCTGAGACGAGCCTTCCTCTCGGGCACTCACGCGCGCTCTCGACGTTCCCGAAACGAACGGACTGTCATTGTCCACGCGTGTACGTATGTACAGGCAAGCACGCACGCACGCACGGTGAACACGCGTCGAAAGTCGAAATACGTCAAGACTGATCAAGACTGATCAAGACGGCTGACCTCGGACTTATGAAAGTTCTCACTGGTTCTCACCCGGGAATCTCGGGATCGCTTCTAAATCGCGTCCCCGTAATTCTGATGAGAAGTCAGACGAGAATGAGAGACTCGAGATACTCGAATACTGACATTACTGACGGTGGCTGACGAGCTCCTCTCGCTCCTCTCTTGGAAAAGAGGAGACCGCTGTTAGCTGTTAGCGCTGTATGTTAAGTCTATCCTGGTCTATCCAGTGAATCCAGTCTTCGAGATTTGCATTTGTCGATTTTGTAGAATCCCGCGTGGTTTGAAAAATTCACGCGCTAAAACGTTCCGTTAGAAAACATTGGCTGCGTCCAACAGAAAAAGCTATTTTGCAATTGTTGTAAGATTCTTTAATATAATTGATTCTCGCCCGTAGTTCCTTGCTGGATCTAAATGTATAACCAATCATATTAAAGAATTTTATAACAATCTTGCAAATTTGTTTTCTTTGCTGAACACAGCCATTGCGGCGAAAGTGAAAGGCAGAAAAAATTTAATTAGAGAATTGGACTGATTAGAGTTCATTAGAGCATGGACGATAGAATTATCGATATCTCGAAAATATTTAATTCTTCTATTTTACTTATAATAAATTTCTATATAACATGTTTACATATAGCCACTATTATAAATATTTAAAAAAAAAATAAAAAATCTGTTTAATAATCTTTATACTGCATATTTCATATATAGCACATAGTTTAATTAACATTTGAGATAATAGTGTAAAATATTGAATAATTAATTGTATCGTATAATGCATGCGAAAGATTGGAAAGATTTTAAGAAAATATTTATTATTTATAGAATTTTTTATAAAATAAAAATCACTAGATACTTATATTTATATAATATTTATTTCAACTCTATTTCTGCTTCTCTTTACTTATGCATATAAATAATATTTCTGTAAAAATTATTCCAAATGCATTTACAATTCATCTCTATCTATGTCAAAACTTGAATCATAATTATCGTTATCCACTTCATTATCACTATAATCGTCGTCTTCCTCATCGGCATAATTTTCATTGCAAATATTTGAGACATTTGTGCAAAGTTTTTTTTTCTTATTGGGTATGCCGTCAACGTACAATGACACTATATCTTCTTCAAATTCTTCCACTATAGCGCTGCACTGAAAACGGTTAATCCAAATTAATGACAAAGAAGGCGCTTTAAGCAAATATAAAACATAATAAACAGCACTCACATAATGCTCGAGGCTCTTATTTAAATCACCATCTTGAATTATATCTACTTCGCTCATAATAGGATTCATACCACCTGATGGAGACATAAGATTAAAGATCATTAATTGATTATCAGACTTTCTCGTTGCTCTTACATAATCCGACAGTTTCTCGCAGATATTGTCCAGCAAAATCGAAATATGTGTTTCAGATCGACCCAACGGCACCTTAAAATAACAAATATCGAATTCTATATTAAAAACCTATACAACACAATTCTTCAAGAGATATCCAGAGGAGAATTCTGTTGTGTAGAAAAATTGAACATACGAAACTAGGGAATGGATTTACAAATGTATAAAAGCAGCAAAAATATTTTCAATAAATTTAATACTAATGATCTATCTTTTCTTGATATTTTTTTTCATCTTCTTACCTTTTTACGTATAGTATTTCCATCAGCATCCATTCTAAAATTACCTACGTCGACTAATTTATTTGGATTAGCTTTGAGAACCTCGTTCTCCAATTCATTCATAGTTGCCCTACAAACTGTAAGGTAGAAAAATTATTATTATTTATAATTATTATAAAAATAGATTTATCATAGAGAGAGAGAGAGATTAACACATTGATTTTCACCTAAACATTTCAAATGCTTTAGATCGACTTCTTTGGGTTCCACTGCAGTAATTATAAAAAATAGACCCAAAAATAGTAAAGTTCTCATCTGCAAATGTAAATTATTTCCAATTGTACGAAATTCTTTACATAAACATGCTCTCATACTGTGCAACTTTTCTCACACAAAAAACTCCAAATAATATATCTTACCTTGTGTGCGTTAAGAATTGAGTAGGTTACAATAATTGTTTAGTTATATTTTTTCCACAATAACGTATTTAAAACTTTTAACACCGCAGCACGCGATACGTGTAATGTACATCTTCTAGTATCGCATCTGATGATGTGTAAAATATTTATATCGTAATTTTCGTATAAACGAATGACAGTTCGCAACGTGTAATTCCGATCATGCCAACTGTTCAACTTTAAGCTAGTTCTACATTAGTCGCATCGCAGCG